GGGGAAGGAAGGGGGAAGGAAGGAGAACAGGGAAGAGGAAGGAAGGAAGAAGAGAAAATAATGGAGGGAGGAGAGAAAAAAGAGAGGGAGCAGGAGGAAGGAAGGAAGGAAAGGAAGGGAGAGAATGGAAAGGAAGGGAAAGGTCTGTAAGGGGCGTGCATAAGCGCACCATCGTGCCTACCGTCCCTGTCCTATTGCCTCCATTTATCCTTACCTATTTCCTGTTTATACTTCTACCTATTATCTTGCAAGCGATTGACAAATCAAATCAAATCAAACCAAATCAGTAAATAAAATGGATGGCTGAGGAATTCTGGGAGTTGAAGGCCTCACCTGTTTAAAGTTGCCAAGTTTGGAGAGGCCTGGTTGGTTTTTAGAAAACCACACGCTACTTACGCACCTGTTTGGACAGCTGTCTTGGGAAGAACTGGGGGAGTGAAGAATCAGAACTTCCGCAACTGACTGGACATCCGGGTCATCTCCACGGCGCATCAAAGCTCTTCCAGAAGTTTCGGTTTCAACTGTAGTTTGGGGGAAAAGGAACATTTTTTTGGGGGGGGGGGGTGCTTTGTTTATCGTTGTCATTCAGTACGTTGCAGGCTGTTCTGCCCAAACCTTCCTGAGACTGTAAAGAAGCACACGCTTAGTCCAAACAACTCTTGTTTTATTTCAACGCTGGGAAGTATTTTCATTCCCAGCCCGTAATGAGTCCCCAATAGTCCCTCGAGATAAGCACCCACCTTTCTCTCCTTTGAATCACTGCCAGCAACTAAAGTGCCAAATGAACTGTAAAAAACTAACTGAAGTACGAAGTCCTCACAGAGCTTCAAGGATTAATCCGAACAGAGCCAAACAAACGTTGCTTCCTGCTGGGAAGAAGGCGGAGCCTCCTCGCTGACGGACCGTAGATCGCGACTCTCTGTGGCTATGGTCCGTGCTCTTTCGTTGGAGAGCCCTGATCATTACAATTAGGGGCTGAAGCTGCCTTGGAGGGGTGGTGGAGTAAGGGGAAGCCGCAAGCCAGGTTGAGGGGAGCCGCATCTTCCCCGCTTGGCTTGGTCTTTTCCCCCCCACGAAGTCGACTGCAGCAGTGGTTTAAAATGGCCACCCTGAAGAGGAAGACTCAGCTGGATTAAGATTTGTGCAGGAGGAAAGAAAGAGGTGGATAACATCTGAACCGGGACAATTGCGCGATACAACTAAACAAAAGTACCCCGGGATTAAGGTAACATGGAATTTTTAAGAAAAGAAAAGTGAGCGGCGAAAGTACAAAGGGATAGGGGGGAAAAAAGAATATATTTTTGACAGCTAAGCGGGGCTTCGAACCGGGAAAGGAAGAAGCCGGAATTAAAGATTTAACTAAATTGGACTAAAATATTTTGGCAATAAACAGACATAAAATAAAGCTGGACTTAAGATTGTCAAAAAATAATAATAATAAAGTTTACAAATTGGAGACTGGACTGTGCTGGAATATTGAGGTTCGAAAAACCCTAAATAAAAACATAGGGGGAAAAGGTGAAGACTTTGTATAATGGAGAGTGCCACCTTTTGACAAAAACTTGAGATCAAACGTTGCTTCCAGCAAAGGTTCCTGTCCCTTTGCTCCTCTTTTATGTCTTATGGGAGGAGCAATCACCTCCAAGCCTTACTCCTGAGTCGCCCCTTTTATCTTAGCTGCTCTTGCCTTCTGGCAGCTGTGCGCAAGCGTACACTAGGAACAGGTTCCCGCTGTTCCTCTGCCTCACTGCTGCCAGACTCCGGAGGCAGCACCCCACTCCCAGATGGTCCTGGCCCCATCTCTGCATGGGACGCAGGACCTTTGTCTGAGTCCTCCCCAGACTCCTGGACTGGTCCCCGTTCTTCCCCACTGTCCGATTCCGTTGCCGTCTGCACAGGCTGCCAGTGAACCACAACACAGGCATCTCGGAAAAGCTCAGCCAAACACAACACACATGCACACACTTCAAACCCCAAAACACACTAAGGCAGAAGCTTGTCTACCCCAATGATAAAATCAGGGGTGGGATCCGACCGGTGTAACTACTGGTTCGGTGATTTTACGATTCTTTCCAGTATAGAATCATGGGATCTTCAGTTGGATAAGGCCATGGAGGTCATCCAATCTACCCCCCGCTTTAACTCAATTGAAGCATCCTCAACGTACAACTGTCTAGCCTCTGTGTGACACACTGAATAAAGGGGGAACCTACTCCCTCTCTGTACATTGTTTTTCCTACAAGGTTGGGGTTTTGGTTTTTTTTTGCTAACGTTGAATTTGAATCTGCTATTTTCACCCAGAATTCCCTATTCTTGGTTCTAGAGTAACCCAGAACCAGCTGGCAAGAAAGCACTGGACCAACTACACAGGTAGTCCTTGACTTACAACCATTAGATTAATGACCATTTGAAGTTGCAACGGCACTGGAAAAAAAGTGACTTAGGACTGTTTTTCCACACTTAACGACCGGTGCAGCATTCTCCACAATCACGTGATCAAAATCCTTGGCAACGGACTCTTCCGGGGTTACGGAAACAGGCTCCGGCTCCCAGGTTGCTTAAATCTGGTCCATGAGGCAGGCCTGGAAACATCAAGAGACTGGCCCTCAGTGCCTCTGGCGGCTAAAATGGGCTGCATGCAGCCTCCCCACGCCTCATTTACACTCTCGATGGCCTCTTGCAGCACTCTTCCATCACAAAACTGGGCCTAAAAACAGGCCCCAAACAGGCTGAAAAATAGGCTGAAAAACAGGCTGAAAAATGGGCCAAAACTAGGCCCAAAATGGGCTGAAAAACAGGCTGACAAGCAAGTCAACGGGGAAGCCAGATTCACTTAACAGCCACGTTACTAACTGAAAAGCTGCAGTGATTCACTTAACGACTGTGGCAAGAAAGGTCATCAAACGGGGCAAAGCTCATGGAACAACTGTCTCGCTTAGACGCAGACAACTCTGGGGCACAATTGTGGTCGTAAGTCGAGGACCACCGTACAGGAAAAGACAGCCATTGGATTACATTTTAAAATTCAAATTATAATTCTCCTTCAAACCGGAGTTTCCCCAAATGACTAGGTCACAGGGGTGTCAAACGCAGTTTCACTGAGGGCCACATCAGAGCTGTGTTTGACCCTGGGGTGTGTGTGTGGGGGAGAATGTGGTCATGTGGACATGACCACCTTGATGACACTCATGTCAGGTGCACTTCTGGTGGTCCGGGTGGGGCTGGGAGGATCCACTTTTGCTAGTAGTTTGGTTTGCTGGCACTCTGTCAGTGAAAAGAGAGCTCGGGCGTCCCACACGGGCCCCCCAGGCTCCATTTTCTGCTGTGACAGCCTCCGGTAGCCCTTTGCCAGTGAAAATGGCCACCATGCGGAACCCTCACGAGCTCCGTTTTTGCTGGTAGAGGCACCGCGGGCCGGTCCTTTGCTGTTTCCAGGGCGGCCTTGTGGGCTGGATCTAATCACCCCATGGGTCTTGAGTTTGACCCTTGGAGTAGGACAGGGGTGTCAAACTCAAGGCCCGCAGGCTGGATCCAGCCTCCGGGTTGCTTAAATCTGGCCCACCGGACTGGCCTGGAAGTATCAAGGGACTGGCCTGCAGTGCTTCTGGAGGCTAAGATGGGCCACATGTGGCCCCCTGCACGCCTCATTTTCATTCTCCAGGGCCTCCTCCAGTGCTCTTCCATCATAAAATTGGGCCGTAACCAGGCCCAAAAACAGACTGAAAAATGGGCCAAAAACAGGCTGAAAATGGGCCGAAAAACAGGTGGAAAAATAGGTGGAAAACAGGCCGGAAAATGGGCCGAAAAACAGACTGTAAAAAGGGCTGAAAATGGGCTGAAAAACAGACTGAAACATGGGCCGAAAACAGCCGGAAAATAGGTCAAAGAACAGGCTGAAAATGGGGTGAAAACTGGCCGGAAAATGGGCCAAAAATAGGCCCCAAACAGGCAAAACCGGGCCAAAAAACAGACTGCAAAACAGGCCAAAAACAGGCCAAAAACATGCCAAAATGAGCCCCCAAAAAGACTGAAAAATGGGCTGAAAATAGGCTGAAAAATGGGCCAAAAATGGGCCCCAAACAGGCAAAAATGGGCCAAAAACAAGCAAAAAATAGAAGGCAAAATGGGCCGAAAACAGGCTGAAAAATGGGCTGAAAACAGGCAAAAAAGGGCCAAACAACAGATGGCAAAACGGGCCAAAAACAGGCCAAAAACATGCTGAAAATGGGCCGAAAACAGGGTGAAAAATGGGGCAAAATGGGCCCCAAACAGGCAAAAATGGCCCAAAAAACAGGCGGCAAAATGGGCTGAAAACAGGCCAAAACTGGGCCAAAATGGCCCCCAAGCCGGCAAATATAGGCCAAGAATGAACAAAAAACAGATGGCAAAATGGGCCAAAAATAGGCCAAAAATGGGCTGAAAAGCAGGCTGAAAACAATCTGAAAAATGGGCCAAAAACAGGCCCCAAACAGGCAAAAAAGGGCCCAAAACAGACCATCTGGTCCATTTTCAGCCAGCAGAGTACTGCAGGAGGCCATGGAAGGCAAAAACGAGGAGGCGGCTCCCCTGCACCCCCGCTTTGGCTGGCAAGGTGCTGCAGGAGGCATCCGCCCCGCTTCCCCACGCCTCCCCACGCCCAGCCTGCAGAGGAGAATTACAATGCTGGCCCTCGAAGAAATCCAGTTTGACAACCCTGGACTAGGACAAAGCCGGCTCCTTTAGGGACTTCGCCTCCGAGCTGCTCGAACTCAAGACTTACACGTCGAGGAGAACGGGACCTCCGAAAGGCTGGGCCTCTTCCCGCTGCGTGTCGGAGGCCGGGAATTGGAGCACCGTGGCGCGTATATCTCTTTGCCGCCGGAAGACGGGGCTTCGTTTTCCAACCTGGAGCAAACAAGATGGCAAGAGGGATGAATGCCAGGGTCATTAAACTGTTATCGCTGGGTGGATGCTCACCTTCCCAATTTCCTGTAATGGAGAAGAGGATAATTTTGAAATTACAGATTAGTGCCAGGGTCACGGCGGTTTTGTTCGCTATGGTTCTCCCTTTCAATCAATCGGGAATAGAGCTGCAGTTGGGTAGGAGTCGAAACAGTTTGTGTTTCAACACATGGTCGGGGAAAAAAAATGATAAAACAACACATAGATTTAAAGCCAGAGATATTTTTATTGGGGATTTTGCTGGAAAGTTATAGCAAAGAAACAACATTTGATTATTAATGTTTTAAAAGCAGGTAGAACTGTATTTGCTCAAAACTTGAAAAATGAGAAAATTCCGATGTGGGGGAGGGAATTAAGAAAATAATAGAAAGTGCAGAAATGAGTAGATTAACATGAGCAATTAGAGAGAAGAAGAAAAAAGAGTACTATAAGATTTGGGATTTATCTTATGAATGGTTAAGAAAGTAGAGTAAGAAACTAATGGATATTGTCGTAATTATATACTATAATTGATCATTTTTGAATAAGTTAGAATGTGACTATAATCTAGCAAGAGTTGGGATTTGCTTTCATGGATAGCTGGAAACTGAAATAAAAAAAAACCTAAGGACTATGTAATGATAATATGATGTATAATGTTGATTAGAATACAATTTGAGTGTAAGCTCAAGAAGAAATATATACAAATATTGTGCACACACTGTATAATTGAAAGAAGGTTTTATTTGTTGTTTGTTGTTATAAAAATAAAAAATATTGTTAAAAAACAAAAGAAAATGAAACAGTTTATGTCCGGGATATGAAGGGTCAGAATGACAGAATAACAGAGTTGCAAAGGACCTCGGAGGTCTTCTAGTCCAGCCCGCTTGTGCAAGCAGGAGACCCTATAACCTCTTAGTCAAATGGTTATCCAGTCTCTTCTTAAAAACCTCCAGTGACGGAGCACCCACAACTTCTGGTGGCAAGCAGTTCCACTGGTTCATTGTCCTCCCTGTTAGGAAGTTTCTCCTCAATTCCAGGCTGCTTCTCTCCTGAATTAGTTTCCATCCATTGTTTCTTGCCTTGCCTTCAGCTGCTTAGAATGTTTTAGAGTACAATAGAACTGCAAGGGACCTTGGAGGCCTTCTAGTCTGACCCCCTTGCTCAAGCAGACCTTATACTAGTGGTGGCTAACCTTTTGGGGCTCCTGTGCCAAAAACTGCGCTCGGCTCGCGTGCCAACACAGCCCCCCACACTCCCTGTACATGTGCGCGCGATTCCTCCTCTCTCACCCAGCTGCCCCCCTACCTGCACTGCGCCTCCCAGCTGATTTTCGGGCCGTTCAAGGCCTTTTTCAGCCTCCCAGAGGCCTCGAGGGAAGCCTCTGCAGGCCGAAAAATGGGCACGTTTCGTCACTTCTAGTATTTCCGGAAATATAAGAAGTGACGAAACAGGCTTGTTTTTTTGGCCTCCAAAGGCTGCAGAGTCTTCCCTCAAGCCTCTGGGAGGCCAAAAGTCAGCTGGGAGGCACACGCACGCGCAGTGAGGTAAGTGTGCGAGGGGCTCGTGTGCCCGCACAAATGGCTCTGTGTGCCATTTGTGGTATGCGTGTCATAAGGTCGCCATCACGTCCCTACGCCATTTCAAGCCAATCTCTTCTAAGAAATCTCCAGTGATGGAGCACACATAACTTCTGGAGGTGAACTGGTTCCACTGGTTTAATTGTTCACACTGTCCTAGCAGTGTTGACGATTAACCAGTGGAACAGCTTGCTACCAGAAGGTGTCGGTTGGACGTTTCTCCTAACTGTTTTTCTCTTTCCTTCCAGAAGTGGAACCAAAAATTATGCAGGTAGTCCTCAACTTACAACACATAGAGACCGTTCAAAGTTGGGACTGAAAAAAAATAGCTGATGACCATTTTTCACACTTATAGCCGTTCCAGCATCCCCGTGGTCATGTGATTAAATAAATTCGGATGCTTGATAACTGGTTCCTATTTATGACGGTTGCGGTGGCCCAATCCACTTTTCTGACCTTCTGGCAAGCAACGTCAATAGGGGAAGCCAGATTCACTTAACAACGGTTACTAATTTAACAACTGCAGTGACTCCCTTGACGGAGGTGGCAAGAAAAGTGGGTCAATGGGACGAAACAGATTTCTCACTTAGCAACCTATTTTTTTTTTCTCGATTGTGGTTGTAAGTTGAGGTTCACAGCTCCCTGAGCATGCTGGCTGGAGACGATCGGGAATAGATGAGAGTCAGTTTAGAGTAGGGTCTCCCGCTTAGGCGGTGGGTTGGACTAGATGACCTATAAGGTCCCTTCCAACTCTGATTATCTGTTATCTGAGCTGCCTAGAAACTAGGAGCTGGTGAGTTCTAATCTCAAAGGCTGGCTGGGTGGGCCCATGGGCCAATCAGCAGCAGACTGTGACTACTAGTCCCGCCTTAGACATGGAAAACAGTTAGGTGACTTGGGGCCAATCACCAGGAGGTGATAAATTCTAGTCTCACCTAGAAACTAGGTGAGTTCTAGTCCATTTTAGGCCTGAAAGCCAGCTGGGTGACCTTGGGCCAATCAGCAGGAGAGGGTAAGTTCTAGTCCCGCCTTAGGCATGGAACCCAACTGGGTGATTCAGGGCCAATCACCAGGAGACAGTGAGTTCTAGTCCCG